TTCCTATGTTGTTTCTATAAGGAGTCCCTGACGAGAAATGCCAAAACTCCAGATGAATATAAAAACAATGTGGTATAGTCTATTTTTCAGAGAGAAATTGAGAATAATACAAAACATTTGTTTTCTCTGATTTTTATATGAAATATAAATGTTTCTTCATGGGCGATGCCTTCACCTCTCTAAGCCTCAGTTTACTCATCCGTAAAGTAGGGAGAATCCTATCTAGTTCACAGGGCTGTTAGGAGACTTAATGAAATACCACATCAAAAGTACTACACACGATACCTCACACGTGTACCAAGTTTGGTTTATAGTAGAAGCTCTTAATATTATTATTATCACATGGCCCAGAGTTGTGACCATCTGGACCTGAAGAATCAAGAGCGTCTATTGCAATCTTGGCCCCCAGGGGAATGGATCATCAGCCAAGAGTCTTCAGAGGCACATCGACTAGATTTGGAATGCGGTCCATATTGAGAAATATTGGTTCTGCTCCCCTGGGCATCCCGAACCCTTGTTTTGTGAACACCTTTCCTGAAAGGTGAAACACAGAGGATTTTCCCCAGTAGAGAGAAAACGCAGACGGGGGAAAGCTGGAGAGTGAGCAGAGTGCAAGAGCCCCTGAGAGCACAGAAAGGCAACCCCAGCTCATCCCCAGGGCTGGTTCTTGCAGCCCAGCCCCCAGCCTTCTGCCCACTGAGCCAACACTCCTGCCAATGCTCACAGCCCCTTCCCACTGCTCCGCTGCCCCCTGGTCCCCCAGCAGAACCCTCTTCCTGGGGCTCCCCTCTGGCCATCTGCCTTGTGCCTGTCATCTCAGAGGCAGACACTCAGGAGAGCACAGTTCTTTAAGAAGTGGGGACCCCACATTAAATTGGGAACCCTCAGACAGATACAGCTTTGAAACTGTTCGTTTTCTGTGGTGCGATGGGGAAGCCTGCCCTACTTAAAGTTTAGAAAACAGTGTCATGTGAAATGAAGCTGGAGTCAGAAGCTCCCTACCCAAATTTCTAGCAGAGGAAACAAAACCCAAACTGATTCGCTGTAGATTATATAATGGCTTAGCAAAGGGCAAGAGGGTGCTGGTGAAGAACAAGGCACTTACCCACATCCACGGCATAAGCCTGCCTCAGCCCTACGGCAAAAAGAAGAATCCCTGTCTTAGCCCAGGGCGGTTGCAGGGGCCTGAGGAGCTAATGCAATCACTTACTCACAGCAATTGCTATGCTACCACTAGAATTATCTTTCTAATACAGTTCCCATTACAGTCCTCTGCAGCTTAAACGTCTTTGAGTTTCCTACTGAAATACAAACATCTTAACATGGCATTCAAGGCTCTTCCCTATCTGGCCCTGAGCTCTGACCTCAGCAGACTCTCACAGGTCCCAGAACATAATCAACCTCATAACAAACTCAACCTGGAGTTCTCTTTCCTTTCATCCTCAAAACCTAGTTCTGCGAAAGGTAACAAGCGGTGAGGATGTGGAGAAATTGGTGGGAATATGTAATGGTGCAGCCACTATGGAAAACAGTATGGAGTGTCCTCAAAAAATTAAAACTAGAACTACCATGCAATCCAGCAATCCCACTTCTGGTATATACCCACAAGGATTGAAATCAGCATCTCGAAGAGATGTCTGGACTCCCAAGTTCATTGCAGCATTATTTACAGTAGCAAAACCATGGAAACAACCTATATGTCCATCAATGGATGAAGAAAATGTAATATACACATATAGTGGAATATTATTCAGCCTTAAAAAAGAAGGAAATTCTGCCATTTGCTACAATATGGATGAACTTGGAGGACATTATGCTAAGTGAAATAAACCAGACACAGAAGAACAAACTACGTGATCCCACTTATATCAGGAATCTAAAAGAGTCAAACTCATAGAAGGAAAAAGAATGGTGGTTAGCAGGACTGGGGGGAGAGGGAATCAGGAGGTGTTGGTCAAAGGGTGTGAAGTTTTAGTTACACAAGAAGAATAAGTCCTAGAGATCTACTGTACAGCAGAGTGCCTATTATTAACAATACTGTATTATATACTTAAAAATTTGAGGGTAGATCTTAAGTGTTCTTATCACAGAAAAAACAAAAACAACCCTAATTCTAGTGTTACCTCTGAAGGGCTCTCCAGAACCCCACACAAACTTGCTTCCCCAATTTACCATAAACTTGGATAATTTTACCAAATACGTGGTTTGTTTCTCCGCTCAGAAAATTGTAGTAATTCAGAGGCTCTGGGGCCAGTTCGCCTGGCCTCAGCAGCCAAGAGCTCTTAAGCACAAGCCTCAGTTTCCTCATACGTTGCATGGGGATATTGATACCCCCTTCTCCATAGGGTTGTTCTGGGAATTAAATGTCTAATTTGTATAAAGCATTTAGCACATTTTAAGGGTTCAATAAATGTTAACTCTTGTTATTATGTAGCATTTGTTCATTGTATTGGTTGTTTCTACGCTTGTTTCTCCACCTAGGTTGTGAGCGGCTGAGGGTAAATCCCTGTATTTGTCTCTGTCTTCCTGCTACTGCTATGAGGCAGTCAATACCCTGATGAATTGAATTCAATTGAATTGAGGTCCCACCAGAGGGCAGTAGCTTCCAGCCCCAGAATTCTTCCTCTGGAGCCCTACTCCAAGGCTGGACAGGCTGAAAACATTTATGGACAAGAAGCAGCTAATGGAGCTGTGGTTGTTCCCAATTTCCTACCACCAAGTAGCCACTCCTTCTGGTGCCTCGACCACAGGTGAAGCCAGATAGCAATTTGAGAAAGCAGAGAGCTGAGGTCTTCCTTCCCACCCTGGGAACAGAGTCACTCTGAGTTTCCTTGGTCTGAGGATGTTTCAGGGAAGGCAGATCACTGGAGGGAGGGAATGGAAACCAAATGCCTGAACTCTGCATGGAAGGCAAGTTGGTGAGCCTAGAACAAGGAATTCTGATGTTAGACGAGGAGACAAAGAATGAATCATTGAGTAGCCTGCAACCATTGAGGAGAAAGCAAAGGAGGAAGAGGGGAACAAGCCAGCGCAGTTGTCAGTGGAACAAGAGCCTCTTCCTGGTCATGGAGGGAAGCCTCAGGATACGTCCTGACTGGCGTCTTTGTACAGGGTTGCAGGTGCATTCTTTTTTTTTTTGAGGAAGATCAGCCCTGAGCTAACATCCATGCCAATCCTCCTCTTTTTGCTGAGGAAGACCGGCCCTGAGCTAACATCTATTGCCAATCCTCCTCCTTTTTTTTTTCTCCTTTTTCTCCCCAAAGCCCCAGTAGATAGTTGCACATCCTGCTAGTTGCTGTATGTGGGACGCCGCCTCAGCATGGCTGGACAAGCGGTGCGTTGGTGCACGCCCGGGATCTGAACCTGGGCCGCCAGTAGCAGAGCACGCGCACTTAACCGCTAAGCCACGGGGCCGGCCCCTGCAGGTGCATTCTACCTCCCCATCCTAAGTGGAATGTGCTCTAGCTCAAAGTCACAGACTGAAATTTACTGCAGGAGAAAAATATGGAGAATCATTAATTAAAATTTCTTTATGTACTTTTCTATGTAAGACTCTATTAGAACCCCCAGAATTACCACTGTCTTCATTGTCCCCATGGTCACATCTCTTGTGTTATTTGAAATTCACCTGGGACTAGATCAGGTAAGTCATTGGACTGGTTCTTTAATGTGATGAATAATCAATATATCCACTTCTCACCCCAAGGCCTAAAAGCTCCCTTTTCTACTGATTTATTCTTTAATTAATGGGAAGGAAATTTTTATACAAGACTACTTCACCTGTGTTCATTCCCCAATAAGAAACATCACCTGCTCTGAATTCAATTTTTTAAAGTAGATAGCCTTCTGTTTTCCAAAGTCTTTGTTTTTCACAGTTCAGGTGGGAGGGTAAATAGCTCACATCCTTGTCTTTGCATTTCAAAGATAATCATCATGTTAACATAATCTCCCGTCCAGAATACAAATTGCTGGCTCTTCTCTGAAGTGCCCATCACCTGGGTTTGTAGCCCTGCACAGTCGTTGCCTGTATCCATGGTTCTCAAGCCTTAGTGGACAGTAGACTCACCTGGAGGGCTTGTAAAAACACAAATCCTGCATTTCTAGCAAGTTCCCCGGTGATGCTGATGCTGCTGGTCCAGGAACCACACTTGTGGGAACCACTGATGAGAAAGCTCTAGGACTCCTTCAACATTCATTTCTGCTACACAGATTCTAAAACCTGGCACAGAGGCTCAGAAAGACACGAGCTTTTCCTGATTTGAGTGGTATGACAATGTGTGGTTATACTCATTGAAACAGTACATTGGAAATACCTCTACTCAGACTCACCCTGATTTGAATACTAGATTGGGAAGATATTGAGTTTACAGACTAGGGGGAGATGGTGATTCTTAAATGCGTGTGTATGTTTGTGATTGAGCTGGGAAAGTTTCCTGACTTCCAAAAGGTCCATCGCATACTAGCTGGGATTCTATCAACCTCAGAATTCCAAGGAGGTTGGATTCTGAAGAAAGGAAATGCCCAATTATAGGCCATGGGAACTATCTTTCTTTTCTTTTCTTTTTTTTTTAAATAAAGAATTCAGAGGAAGAAAATAAGAGGTACAAAATGGAGCCATAGTTTACCAGAAAGGCTGAGGAGGGAGCCTTGTTCAATGTATGTAAGAGAAAGAGAAGGAGAAAAATCAATCAGAACCAAGTGAGTGTTGTTAGTTTCAGCAAGATCTCAAGTATCTGGAAGGCAATTATGAATGTATTTTATTTTAACAAACATAGCCTTGTCCTTACCCACCACATTCTCTAGTAACACAGAAGGTTCTTTTAAAGCAGAGTCTCCAGCCCTAAGCCTTATCAAGTCATTAATATTTCATCTAAAGGAATATAACATCTTCAACTGAGACCTAAGAGTAAGATCTGGACGTGAGCATTCAAAGGCAAGTGTATGTTACAGTTGGAATAGAGTGAGTGAAAAGAGACTTTTCTTTTCTCTTTTTCTTTCAGAAACAGGGAAGATTGACCAAGAGATTCACAAATACAACACTCCAGGATTCACTGGGTGCCTCTCCAGAGTCCAGTTCAACCAGATTGCCCCTCTCAAGGCGGCCTTGAGGCCAACAAACGCCTCGGTTCACGTCCACATCCAGGGCGAGCTGGTGGAGTCCAACTGCGGGGCCTCCCCGCTGACCCTCTCACCCATGTCGTCTGCCACCGACCCCTGGCACTTAGATCACTTGGATTCAGGTAAAGTCTAACGCAGTCTTGCTTGGGCCGGTTGCTTTATTTCTTTAAACCTCAGTTTCCTCATCTGTCAGATGGGGTTAATAACAGCACCTCGCTGGAAATGTTGGAGGATTGAGAGAGCAAAGGCGTGTGTGAGCACAAGGGTTCTTAGCACAAGTCAAGTGCTCAGAAGTCACAACCATTGTTCTTGCTCAGTGCCAGAAGGAAAGAAGTGAAGGTGAGGGACACAGGAATTCAAGTCTTCTTCCTTTAGAAGGAATTGGGGGATGCCTGAACTGACGTCTGCGACGTGACTGTCAGATGATCTGATCAAATCGCTTCCTCACTTTCTCCTTTATGACTCACTTGCAGCCCCATAGTCCAGGTTCTAATATCAGAAGAAGTGATGTACCTAAAGCAATACAGAGATTCATCTCCCCCCTCTGTGTTTATACAAACAATCCCGGAGCCTTCCAGACTTTTTTAGGAGGTCCATTTAGGCTTACAAATCCCAGTTCTGCAGGTGATAAGATGTACTTGGAAAGCACAGGCTAAATGAAAGGATGCGGCTGTTGGCTGCAAAATTAACTGGATGTAAATTCAGTGTTCTCATAACACCGAATGGTGGAGAGCCTACTCCTCATGCCACCCAAACTGACCTTGGGCAATTCGAGTAACCTCTCTAAGCCTCTGCTTTGTCACCCACAAGGTGACAAAGTGGAGTGTGATCTCTAAGTGGCTTCCACATCTAATATTCAATGGGTCCCCAAAGCAATGTGTGATGTTGCCGATGCTGAAGACGGGAAGAGGACAAGGTGGGAGACAGGGTGATGGTGGGGCCAGGGTACCAATGCCATCACTGCCTCTCACCAGCAGGTTTCATAATCATTCCTCAGTGTCCCCATGTCTAAAATGGAGTTAATAGGACATAACTCATAGAATTCTATGTGGAACGATGTATTTAAAGGACTTAGCGCAGTCATGGACAGGCAGCTTTAACAAGGCTTAGCTGCAATAATATTAACAATGTGGTTATTATTGTTAGACACAATTTGCTATGGTGCTTGAATGTCTCATAAAGCCTTCCAAATCCTCCCCCACCTTAATTTCTAGTTTGTAACAGTTCATCACGGAAACATCATGCATTTGATTGCTTTCTGCATATTCTAGCCCCATACATTGTATTTACCAGCTTCGGTGCAGTCTCATCGTTGGGAACCCTTGCCAGGATTTGCGCTGCAAAGCTTTGTAAAGCTTCAAAGGAAGCCAGAATTGCCCCGTTGTCAGAATAGCCGGTTTACAGACTAAACAATCGTCTTTGTTCCTCGCACATGGATTCCTATAACATGATGAGGGATGCTGTGTGCCAAGGGTCCTTAAGAAGAGTTCCCTTTTATGAATGTTGTTAGGATTACACAGCAGGCTGGTTTTTCCTCATGTGCTGGCTTGAACAAAGGAGAACATTCCTAATGCTGAAAGAAAAAAGTAGGAATGAAAATATGAGATGAGAAAAGACATATGTCAGGGCTACAAAGGAAAAGAGATTTCTCAGATAAATTCCTCCAAATGCCAGAGTGGTTGGAGACAACGCATGATCTGTGAAATGCACGGGTACTTCTGCCGCCTGAGGACACAGGGGCCCGCTGCATGAGGCCGTGAGCGTGTGTGGTCTAGTCGGCTGCCCAGAAACTAGTGTCAAAAATATCTAGATGCAGGGGCCGGCCGGGTGGCGCAGGCGGTTGGGTGCACGCGCTCTGCTGCGGCGGCCCGGGGTTCGCTGGTTCGGATCCCGGGCGCGCACCGACGCACTGCTTGGCAGGCCATGCTGTGGCGGCGTCCCATATAAAGTGGAGGAAGATGGGTACAGATGTTAGCCCAGGGCCGTCTTCCTCAGCAAAAAAAGAGGAGGATTGGCGGATGTTAGCGCAGGGCTGATCTCCTCACCAAAAAAAAAAAAAAAAAAATCTAGATGCAACTTTGGGCCAATGTGAGTTCATATTCATTATGCCTTAATTAGCAAAATATATGCTTTATTATCTGTGAGATACAATTGTAGGGGCCAGTTTGAGTTCATTTATTTTTTAAAAATCATGCCTTGTACATGACAATTTCATTCTTTTGATTGATGTAATGAAAACATATATAGGGAACATTTATGTTATTTTTTAGTGTTCAAATCAAAATTCTGCAACCCAGATAATATGGTAGGCTGGTACTATGTTATATAGGGTCCATTTGCAGAAAAATTTCCACTTGCACTTGGGCAGAGAATTCTTACCTGGTGTTGACCCATTGCTGTATCAATCTCATCATCATAATTTACTCCATAATTGGAATTCTAAATTTCCATAATTAGGGAAACCATTATAAAGAAATATGTGTATGTCTCATGAACTTTATTAAAAGGTCAGAGAACAGCTTACGAACTATGAGGCAAAAGGTTTGCTGAGATAACATGATTTGATTTTTTTCTTTTAGGTGAATAGGAACATGAGTGAGAATGGGGGCAGTGGGCTAGACAGGGGACAGAGAAAGACTAGACATAAGGGAAGTTTACTTAGTAGCACCCTCCAGTGGCTTAGTGTCAGGGAGGAAAAACTTTTTCTCTATCCTCTCAAGTTCAGTAAGTGGGGGCTGCAAATTAAACTACAGATTAACAGGAGAAAAAAGTTTATTCATATGCATATGGGAGCTTATAAAAGAAGTAGCTCAATAAAGTTCAAGTTAGAGCTTATATCCGGTACTCAGTAGGAAAGAGGAGAAAAGGCCTCTGTGGGAAGAATAAATGGGTTTCTGAAAGAACAAACGAGAGATAAGAAAGTTTGAGCTAGTGCGTGTCTAGGCAGGTGTGGGTGGTCTCGCTGTCTTCTTCAAGGCCATGAAACTCCCCTGGAATGGGGGTTTATGCGAGATCTTCTTTTGGTCTTCTTCCTGGGATTAAAAGCCCCTCAGAAGGGGGAATTTATGGCAACCTCATTTCTCAGAAGTTTCTACTTTTAATCAGATAAGGGAAACTCCAGAAAGATTTCTTTCTGCATCTGGTGAGCCCCAAACGTCCTCAGTTTAAAATAATCTTCATACCAGCTCTGGGGTTCTAAGTGGGTCCCCACATCAGCAAGTGCACCGCAGTTTTTGTGAGCTGAAGTTTATCATTCAGAGTTCTGATCTGAGGGTTTTGCTTTTATCAGATAATCTTTCATGTGTGAATAAAATAAGAATGCTCACCATCAGATATTCAGAAACTAAATGACAGGATATACACAAAGATGCATTGCTAGCTGTAAATCGTGTTACTGGAGTCGGTGCAGGTAGAGGCAGGAAGAGAAGAAAGGTGAGAGCTAATCAGTCCTGGTTCGAATAGAGAACATTTGGGAGTAGATCGTTTCATCTGGTACCTTGGAAAATGTGGTCCTCATCCAGCAGCGTGAGCATCACCTGGAGGCTTGTTAGGAATGCAGAATCTCAGGCCCCTGCCCCAGACCCACTGAATCAGCACCTACATTTTAGCAAGATTCCCAGGTGACTGATGTGCACATTCGAGTCTGAAAGCACTAATCTAGTGCAGTGGTTCCCAGTCTCAGACGCACTCTCAAATTACCTGGGGAGCTTTAAAAAAGTCCCAATATCCAGGCTGCCCCCTGACCAGTTAAATCAGTCTTGCGTTCTTTCTGCTCCCTTACATTTCTTTCTCATATCTTAGATGATATCAAATGATAAAAACAAAAAATATATTCTCCCTTACATTTCTTTCTCATATCTTAGATGATATCAAATGATAAAAACAAAAAATATATTCCAAGGTATGCTGGCTCTGTGTGTTCAGATCCTTTTTCTCTTCTGTGACACCCCTGACTGCGCTACTCATTACCTCTCTAACGCTCTTTGGGCTCTGTCACTGTTTTCGAAGGTGAGGGACGTTTGTGGTTGATCGGGCTGTGCCCTGATCGACTCCCAGGGATGCCACTTGCATTGCAATCTATGGCTCCTGGAGCAGTGCAACATGGTGGCCTTGATAGGGGGACACCAGATCATTATGGGCAGAAAATAGACATGGCATGACTTGGTATAGTTATTTCCTGTTCATTTCTCTTTAGTTTTGTCAAAGAGAAAGTCTCTGGTTCTGGCATGACTTGAACACTTCTCCTTTACTAAGGAGAGATCAGGCTTCTGTTTAAAACCTTGACAGGCAATAGGGTTACTCAGTAGGGTTATAAAGTTTTATCAATGCATTTATTTAAATATGAAATTGGATCAACAGTGAAAATAAGTAAATAAATAATCATTAGATTTTACATGGATATGGCAAAAAATGTGAAGGTGGTTCCCACGTCATTGGAGTTTAGAAAACACTGGACAGTGTGACAGGATCATCACGAACCCGAGGGCCTAGCATGGTGCTGTAAGAGTGCTTGTTTCATAGGGGAACGATCAACAACACTATGTGGATTTGATTTAAACTGATTCTTCTCTATTAGAAACATCCAGTCTTTTTTCTGCCTAGTTTTTTCCCCCGTTGATAATAGGTGCAGCCTGTTTCTAAAGCACATCATTATGGTCCTTAGGCATATTTTTAGAACAGTAGTTATGAGGTAGGAAAAGCAACCTGCAACCCTGAGTCCTGTTTTATTTAAAGGTTGCAGAGCGCTAGACAATTGCTGTGATTCACTTCTCAGAATTATGGCTCTGTTTTTTTCTTTGTCAAATTCAGGAACTCTTATTTCCTTGGAATGGCATGGATTTGCCAGCAGAAAGACAACTACAGATGGCGATGCACATTCTCTAAAATATAGAAACAAAACAAACACCAGAAAAAACAAATCCAAGAGTCTGATGCGGTAAATCTCTGCACCAAGAACGACCCCAAACAGTACATGGAGCTATCTTACGAGGTGTTCGTGTTAAGCCTTGGGGTGTTTTACACATTCATGATATTTGATACAGAATACATCAGACTACTGGCCACATCCTTTTTGAAATATCAATAAAATAGACAAGGCACTTTAAGATGTAAGATTTCCTTT